ATGTTTCACATGAGTTAACCGCATTTGGAAATTTCTGTCTCTTATACACATCTTTATCGATTTCTTTAATATAAAAAGTTATATATATATATATATTTTGTTTTTTTTTTTTTGTTTTAGTTTGTACAACAAAGAGATGTCTAAAGTTTATTCGCGTAAAATTTCAAGTAAACTAATTGAGATATGGTGAAGACCGCATCGACAAAATTTTTGGAAAAACGTGTCCAAAGTTTTAAGTTAAAATCAAACCAGCCGAGTTTCCATGACAACAGTCACAATAAAATTAGTTTAGGTTTGAAAATATTTGGAGACTCTAAAAATCTTTTGTCCAAAATATTGTCGAGTTATTCAACTTTTTAAATGTTTAGACTAGTGTAAGCTTAAGCTTCATCGCATAGTAAAGCAACTATCTATAACTTAAAATCCTTGTTTGTTGCAGAATACTTTTTAGCAATCGCATTTCAGCAAATATTTTTTTTATTAAGATATATTTTTTTCAACCATTTCGTTTTTAAACATATCACTTAGATTGATAAGTGAGCAGCTTTTTGGAGAGAAGAAGACATGTGAAAATTATAATATTGATATTCTAAAACCTTAGAGACTAGTTGGCGTATATACATACATAGCATACATACAGAGCCGGCATGGCTAAATCGACTCAGCTCGTCAACAATGAGTCAAAATTATTACAATTTCCGACATTCAAAGTCAGCGGCCTCAAAACTAAGAGCGCTACGTCCAATTTATGGCCCTCATAATCAACCTGAGCGTTTATTTTAAATTTAAATTTGAAAAGTGTCCGCAGTCTCTAAAATATTGCTGCCGCTAGCGAATAAATTGAAGAAGACCCAAATCAGTCCCTCACACGTCGTTTTCAAGCATTGGGCATATCTGTGTCGTCGTTGTGACTAATTTTGCGACAAGATCAAATTGACGCCAGAACTGAAGCCGCTTGACCACCAGAATTGTCGTACGTTTCTGAATTGTGCTGAGCAACGACTTGAAAATTATCCGAATTTTCATCGAAAAATCATCTTCAGCGATGAGGTACACTTCTGGCTGATTGGCTTCGTTAATGAGTAAAATATGCGTTATTGCAACAATATCAGCCGAATTATGCATAAAACCGTCGAAACCGGGTTCAGCGTCTGGAATTCTGCAAGCGTGTTCGTGGTGGTCATGAAAAAAAAATCGAGTTCCATACAAATGTACTTTCACAACAATAAAGAATTTTATTGATATTCGAAATCGTTTTTGTTTTATCAAAAAAAAAAAAAAAAAAAAAAAAAAAAAAAAAAAAAAAAAAAAAAAAAAAAAAAAAAAAAAAAAAAAAAAAAAAAAAAAAAAAACGTTCTAATGGAAACCCGGTTGTATGATGATATCGAGTCACCTTCACTATTTCGTATAAACTGTAAGGATTTAAATTTCAAAATATGATAAATTAACTTTAATCCACAGCGTTATTGAGTGTAAATTATTTAGTGCAGAAAATTTAATTGTGCAACTTAGTAAATTATGTGAAATTGAATTGCACTTGGCGTTAAAAATATTACTGCGATGTTGACATGTGTTTGACTACACATACCTATAAAGGCAGAGACTAATATACATGCATACATTTAGGCACATATATATATGTACACATATTATATAAGCCTTTACAAATTTGATTTTCCGCAGCAGCATAGCGTCAGTGCATCCTAAACGCTACGCAATTGGCTGGAGCTGAGGATGATACGCAGGCGACTTTAGTTGCCGCCATCGCTATCGTTGCTGCTGTTGCTGTTGGCGTTTTGTGTACGTTGGCGCGCTTCAATTGCCAAATGTGCCATTGAAAATCAGCAGATAACTAGAAGGAACGCTAACAGCCACACCGTGTACTCAGCTCTGGTTTTTACGCTCGCAGTTGTATGACGTTTTCCAGACAGTCAGTAGGCAGTAGAGCGAATCGTAATCAAACGTACACGCATTCGTATATGTTTGTTTTGTATATGTTGATATGAATATGAAGTATATTTGTGTAAATGTGTGGGTACGTGTTTGTGCATTTACGAAATTGCAATTTCGCACTGTTCTGCGTTTGTCATTTGACGTTTTACACTTTAGTTGATAGCCATAAGCGAGAAATTTCAAGCTGGATTTAGCATTTAGCAGCTCGGGTTACATGTCAATGTGTGACTATTTGCAGATTATTATAGGAAATTTGTCATTTATAGCATTTGAATTATAAGGAAATAGACATATATGTATATGTGAAAAAGGAATTGCYGAGGAATTTGTAATGAAAATACTTAACTTAAGGAGGAAATGAGCATTTTATACGAAAAACACTTTAAATATTATAAGGACAAATACGGTTACATAGTTCAAAAACTTGAATTTTTATTTGATAAATTACTATATACGAC